GTGTTCTAGGACTAAATTTTCTCGCAAACGATTAAGTTTTAGGCAAAATTTTCTTGTAGAGATTTTGATCGACAATAATTGTTTCCATGTTTTCTCCAAGTTAACACGAATTCTTTAGCCTCACGTCGTTGCGTTAAAAAGGCTTACATCATCGTGTCAATATCTAGGCAGATGTCTTATCTGCAACTGCATTATTTCAAAGTTGTCAGAACGCAAGAATGGCTCGCCTCAGTGATTGTCTACCCTAATAAACGTATCGCGCATCTATTTCGCATAATACACCGTACGAAGCTGTATCGATCACTTTGAAGAGGTATTATTCCATTTATTTTCATAAAATCGTTTGACAAATTAATTTAGAATTATTAGCGAACTTGTGAAAAAATATATTTTTTTTTCTCCATTATCGCTTACACTTTTTCTGTATCTCCCCTCTCAAAAGCATGTAGAATTTTTAAATAACTTTTAAATAGCTAACAAAGAATTTGATAAAATTGCTCTATAAAATACCAATTAAATATTCCTTCTGTCGTAAATTCAGTATTTAGCTAGTTAATCTCGATTGTGCAACTCCGCTTCCGTGCTCCAACAAAGATTCACGAGTAAAATGAAATTGAGCTATCGAAAGACCTCGAAAAAAAAAAAAATAAATAAATAAAACGTATTCCGACATATTCCAGAGAAACGAAACTGCTCGCGCGGTGAAACTCGGCGAGCCATGGAAACGCGAGATCGTGGGAGAGAAGCTTGCGCGGCGTAAACGCAGGTGCTCGGCCATTGGTCGGTATGGATGCGACGAGAGATCGCAGAGGTGTAGGTGGGATAGGAGTTTATGTCTGCTTCTCTCTCTCTCTCTCTCTCTCTCCGTTTCTCTCCTTCCCTTTGCCAAGAGTGAGATAGGAGAGCGAGTTACTGGCTCATTGTATGGGCACGCGATCGGAATCGACGGGGACTCGTTATCGCGGTCGTTCGCGTTTTCCATTCGAAAATTTCGTTTTCCGCTCGGATACGATATCGACACCGGGTATCTGTCGGCCAGGGGTATGCGCTGCAGCTGGGGTTCGTAGAAAGCGCCGAGAGAACTATTCTGCATCCGGGATCCAGGTCGAGCCTCTTTTACGGGGCTATTTTTATCTAAACGCATCTACGCCTCTCTATTAGGTATTTGAAATAAAATCGGCGCGATAACGAGAGTGCTAATACCGGATCGTCGCCGGATCAAAAATTCACTCGTAGAAACTGCGTGTGAGGAAAATACGAACAAAAGCCCCGATGTTGAAATCAATTAGCAGAGGCAAAATAGAAAAATGAGAATTTAATAAATTAAAAAGTTGAAAAAGAAAGGAAAAAGATTAATTATGGACGTTACTAAAAATCTTAAGAAATAGCAAAGTTAAACATACATAAATAGATTGAGAGAGCTGCAGATTTTATTTTAAACGTTTATTTAATGATTTATTTAATGGCATATTTAATGGATATTGTATGTTTAAAGATAAATATATAATGGATATATATATATATATATATAAAACTTTATTGCATACGAATTGGTTACAAAATTAAAGAAATGACATACAAATGCATGGAATCCGACAACATAATTGGTGAGGCTACAGCGTGACTGCTAGTATGACGCCTAATCGCGATTTTAAGACGACAAGATAATGAGAAGAGAATACAACGATGCGAATGCACAAAACATAAAACTACAGCATATTTATTGATCATTATATGTAACAATAGATTAAAACGCACATTCGATAAGAACAAAATATATACATTGTTGATATAAGTGAACAGATAATAATCGTAGCTAGTATAATAATCACTAGTATACTACGGTAATAGTAACCGAGTAGACTAATGATAACATTATTACATATGACATTTTACGACATTATGTTTAAAGGTAAGATAAAAAATCCATTTACATTATCTCTTAATCCTGTTTTTTTTGTCAAATAGTAATAGTAGTAGTAGTTTTTCTTTTGACAGCTAATAAACATAAAAACAGACAAGCACCCAACACGATTTCAATTCTAATACGTTGAATAAAGATATAAAAATCTGCTGAATCACTTTCGAATAAAGAATCCACGATTACAAGCCATATATTTAAAAAAGATTTGTCTTCTATATTACCTCTTTTAAACAAAGTTTACATTAAATTAATTAATATTTTTAAGATTATAACAATATCGCAGATTATAATAATATAACACAGAAAAAAATGTTACGCAGTTCCCACAATGGGAAATAATAATAATTTTCGTCCCTCAACACATTAAGTTGCGATAACCACTCAAGAAGAACATATCTTAGCTATGCCAATGTTACGGTTATCATAATCATACATATAGTTCTTATACATAGTAAAAAAATTTGTGTTAAATTTAACACAAATTTTCACATGTCCCAAACGATCCATTCCAATTTTTATGTTAAAATGTTAATTTAACATAAGATGTTAGAAAGTAACAAAAATATTGTATACAAAATTAACACAAGAAGCGTAAATACTTTGACACAATTTAAAAATAAATTTTATGTTAAATTGACATTTTTATAATGTTAAATTGAACTGAAATTAGATGCCATTTTTATATTTTCAGTTTAGACGATGCCTCTGTAATATTTAACATATATTTAATATATAGATTTAACAAATATTTACTGTTACAAAGAAAAAAATAACACAAAATATCTGTACTTTTTTTACATATAAAATATGTAACTAGTTGTACAGAACATTTATTTCTTCAATAAAATTAATATTTATAATATATAAAATCAACACACATTTTATTCATTTATTGTTAGAATTTATGTTTTAAAACTACATTATTTTTATGTTATTTGTTTATTTACCTATAAATTGTGTTATTTTAACACTGAGAAATGTTAAATTTTAATTTAACACAAAATATTTAAGTAACACTCATATTATGTTATCATATTATGTTAAATTAAAACTCAGATATGTTAAAAATTCAACATAAAATTTTAACAAGGATTTGAGTGAATCGTTTCTAACACAAATACACATTTTTTTTACTGCGTAATCAAAAAATGTGATGGATAATTTTTAGTCGTGGCAACTGTAGCCATTTTTTTTATGAGGTAATTATGGATATGTATATCGAAATAATTTTAAAAAAATATATATATATTTTTTTTTAATTGTTTTGAAATAAAAAAAATGTTTAAAAACATCCATTTAACATTTTATTAAAAAAAAATAAGTTTTGACTTGTCTAAATTTTTCTTTCGAAGTTAATGAATGAATAGTTAATGAATGAACAACGAATAACAAACAAACAAACGTCCAAAACAATTTGATATCTAACTAGTTGAATAAACAGATCTAAAAATATACTATTAAAAAAAAAGTTTCAGTTAATATTTTTAAGATTGTATGTTAAATGATATATAATATATATATATATCTCATTTAACATATAATTATGTATATAATTATATGTACAGTTATATATCTTAAAAAATTATTTTAATTCAAAACACGTATTAATAAATTTTTTAAAATTAATATATTCCGCAAAGTGACAAGATACTTTCAATTATGTACATCCGTTTGTTATTATAAGTTTCAAATATTTTTGTTCTTAATAACGATAAATTGCCATGTTGACTTAGCTTTTATGAGCTACAGAAAATAATATATAAACAAAAATCAAAACTTACAAGTTTAAACAAGAAAGAATTATAAACGAATTCTAATGTTTGAAGAAACAAATATACATTGACGGATTAGTTGAAATTTATGGATCGAAATTTTCAAGACAGGCTAACATTTTTGTAAACTATAAGCAGAATGCAATTTATCAATACCAATATGACTAATGATCGGAACAGAGATTTTGTGAAAAGGGCGGAAGTAGCAAAGCAGAAAACTGCGGAAGGAAAATTGGGTAAAGAATAAATGGGAAGGATGAAAAATGATAAGTGACATCTTCTCCTTCAAGAGCTTTTTCCATTACCTGTTTTTTTCTTGTTTAGTCATAAACCAGACATCGACCATCGAATTCACTTTTACGTCGGCATTTTGTTTGTAGACACATTGTAGTACTACGACACTAAAGCTTCTTCGTATCTCTACCAATAATCTCTAACGAAAGACCCTTGAGATTCCGTTTCTAAGAATTATCTTTAAAAATATACAGGTGAAAAGAAAATAAATCGTACACTGAGAGAATTTTTTCTTAAAATTTACTCCGAAAATATAATAGTTCTGGGACAATATTGTATAATATTTCGAAGAATTTTGCAAATTTCTCTTATTCATTAATAAAATTACAATAAAATGTATAATAAGTTTGATTAATTTTACTGAAGTGCATGATGAAAATTTTTATAATATTATTGTATATTGTATCATTTTCATTGTACCATATTTTCAGGGTAAATTTACCATATTTTCAGGATAATTTTAAGAGATAATTCTGTCCGTGTATAAATAATTAATCAGAAGAATATCATTTCAAAGACATTGTGCATTTTTACTGTGGATTTTCCCTTAAATCTCGTTTTTTTCCTGACAAATCTCATTTCCGTTACTCTTAACAAATTTCATTTCCATTATTCTTGAGGAAATAGAAACGTTATATTAATAACAAAAATTTACTAATACATTTTTTCCGAAATCATTCTTTATATGAAGAAAAAAATTTTTAATTTTTAAATACTTCTTTCTAATAAAATATATATGAATATATTTTTTTCATATTTATCTCAGTATATACACAATCGTGTTGGATGCTTATCTTAAAAACATTGACTAAAACTTTTATTGTATTATATTATATAACTTTTACGTAGCTGAAACTCATGGCTACTCTCTTCTGAAAGTGGGAAAATCTTTGAAAAAAAAAAAACGGATTTGCGAAAATTAACGCACATGAACGATTCGCACATCGAATCGAATCGTTAACATATTTTCCTAACGGTACGTTTCTTCTAACCTTGGTTTTAATTTTTGACAGGCAAAGACAGACGGGACTGATAGGTACCGACAGATGAAATGCACTGCCGCACCAGGATCAGGATCAGCACTCAGGGACTCGAACGGTTGGCTCCCCCCCGTCGCGAAGCACGGCAGACTTCAAAGGCTTCAGAGACTTCATCATCGATACCAGGTCCTGATCAGTGCCGACAGATTAGACGAGCACCCATCTCTTCCTCTTCTCTTCCTCTCTCTCGTTTCTTTCGATCATCCGCACAAGGATACAGGCACATTGATCTTTCATTCTTAGCATTCTTGAAATATTCTTATTGAAACTTAATATAAAATAATATCTAATATCTCTTGAAATAATACTTAATTTTAGTTTCCCTTTTGATTACGTGCTACGATGTACGCTGATGTACGCACAGAGACACAAATACTTGAAGTTGCATATTGGAATGGCATGAGAAAATATGAAAAGCAACGTTAGGAATGGTATATATATTTGTATGTCTTTCCATATTTCTCAACTACACTAGTTTACAAAATTTTTATGGGAATATATGAAGACTGTTTCTTGTGTAATTTTCAACACTGAGCTCAAATCTGACATCGAAATATCTATTTTCAAATTCAATCCGAATTTCCATCAAGTCTAGGTTTTTTTAAGATATAAGAAGATATTTTTTGCAATGTATAAATTTTATTAAAATTAGAAAACAAATGAGAAGCGTTCGATTTTTACGACTAGATCGGATTAGAGTCCAACAATAGTCACTAGTGTCAAAAATGAAACACCTGTATTTCTCGCCTGATGATCTCATTCTCGGCTTCTTAGATAAAAAGTTCGAAGAAAAAATATTTTAGAACTAAAATATTTTAGAACTTAGAGATATGCTACATCTTCAAATTAACTACTTTGAACTATCGATAGATTTAAATTCAGCGCTCCAAAATACGTTTAAAACAATTATTTCGTTTCTTGCCTTAAAAGTTATTCAAAATTTGTAAACAATATGTTATTATAACACACACAAAACACACACACACACACACACACATTAATAACACACATTGTGTTTACAAGTTTTAAATAATTTTATTGTATATATAATTATAACCACTTAAACTTAAGACAAAATTACAATGAGAAAATAAATTGCACTGTTAGATATTAAAGAAGTATGACCAGGCAACTTCTAGAATTAAACAACATTTTGTTATTTTTAACTTCTATATACATCAAAATGTAAATCAATTCATTTCTGTGATTAATTTCAAAGTAAACAATATTCGTATTAACGTATATATTTAGTAAGTAATAAATTAAATTTGAGTCAAATTTAACAAATTTTTTTCTTAAATTAAACTGTTTAATTTTATTTGTTTTAATTAAATTAACAACATATTGAGTAAAAAGAGCGATCTATAAAAATAATTAAAAATAACTTAAATTGTGGGCGTAATATAATATTATGAATTTAAATAACAGTACCAAAAGAACAAAATTTTCATAGCTATTTAATATCTATGGTATCTTACTTGACTTAACTTTTTAACGATCTCCTATTAACGTGTAATGACAGTAACTTTCTAGTATGACTTCCTGTAGACGTATGTGCATTATAATACATAGTATGAGATGTCGGTTAAATAGCAGAAAAAGCAGGACCCTACTCGGCTTAAATGCAAACTTACGGTAAAATTTATTGCACGGCACGTTTCGTCAGATAGGGTTTCCGGGAAACACGATTGCCCGGCGAACCGCAACTCGCATACGGAAATAAGCAGAAACCGAGCAGAAACGAAGGGTGGAGGAAAAGAAGAAAAAGAAAAAGAAGAAGAAGAAGAAGAAGAAGAAGCAGTTCCACTGCGAAGTCTTTCGCGGAAGTTGGCAAAAGAAGATGGGGAAAGTTTTCATTTGCGGGCTGCCTCTGAGGTCGGGGCCAATGGCGGTCTTAAATCGTTCGCAATTGAGAGGCGTCGGAATCATTCTTCCCTCTCTTCGCAAGGAGTCGCCGGAAGTCGGCCAGCTGAAGAACAACCTGTTGACCTGACGCGATTACCGAAGATACGTCGAAATTACTTCAAAGTTGCTCCAATACTTTTCAAGAAATGCCTCAAATTCCTTGCCTACTAGTAGGTATGCTCTTGTATTCCTACATTCCTCAGTCTTTAAATTTAATTGAGATTCGTCTTTTGCGCTATTTGTAATACTGATATCATAATTACCGATACTGCTGATGATGCCTACGTACCGTAATTATGCCCGGATAGATATTACGTTCTATATATACGACCCTCATTATTATTCTTCTTATATAAGAGTCTCTCGCATTGGGAGGGCCATATTTCTCTCAACGCGTTGCAGATGATTAAGATTGATGGCTGACTAAACTCGCCAGGTGTGTGCTGGTTGAGATGATTCATTCCAAAAAGTATAACGTAATATTTTAGGAGAAAAAGAAAACATCGCAACGACATGATGAGCATTGTGCAAATAATTATAGAATTACACAAGAGCTCCTAAGTCAAATATACATAAAAATGTATATAATTATGTATTTGTTTATTTTTTTCGTTATTACTATTTTATAATTTATATAAGTATCGTGTATCGTATTTTATAATTTATATAAGTATGCATTTTTATGATGTATATAAGTATCATTCTACGTTGAAAAAAATTTTTTAAATAAAAAAAATTTGTTAGCATTAAGACTTTGTTAGATATTCACGAAGGATATGCTATTGAAGAATAATGCATTATTTACTCTCTAAATCTGAATCAGTGGATAATCACTGATGTCAGTGCCAAATGCTACATTCTTCCTTTCACTGATTTCTTCCTTTCAATGCCATTGGATTAGTGTCCTGATTAGTGTCCTATCCTGATTTACATTTAGATTAGAGATCTAATTTAAAATATGTAGATTACAGTTAAGTGAAATTTCACATAGACCATGAGTGCGACTTCCGGTCTCCTCCGAGAAAATTTTTGACTACGTTTACAGGTGACCATTTTTTATTACGTAGCAGCTAACCATTTTTGACTACGTTTGCTGATTCATCGAAAAGATTTTTCAAAAGAAAAATAGATAATGAAGCAGGCTTGTAAATATTTTATTTTCTATGAACATATTACTTAGTTTAATCTTAAGATTTTACAAATAATAAATTCATACACAAACAGTTGTCACTTGTTTCGAATATCCGCTTCTATTCTTTGAGATTAAGGCAACACATTTTTTAAAGGCAGAACAAATTATTTGTCAAACTATATCGCTACAGAATATACAGAATATACAGATAATTTACTTAATTAGAATTATCTCGCCTATAACGATAGAAAAATACAACAAAGACTCATTTTTTAGAGAAAATACTTAATGTTAAAAATAATTAAGCTAATTCATTAAAATTAATGTCAATACCTTCAAATTAACTTTAAAATATTAATGTTAAATTAAAAAAATAATACTAATTTTTCTTTCTAATACGAATAGAAAATAATTAAATTTATTTCTACGATTAATAATGTTACAAAAATTACGACAACAAAGTATCTTTTAAAGTTTAGAATGTTGTTTCTAACGCGCGAGAAAATACAGAAAACTACAGCAGAAAATTAAACATATAGGATACGTTATAATTTTCTAAACTACAGTTTAGAAAATTGTAGTATATCCTATATGAGAGAAAAATGAGGACGGTAACAAATTTTTAAAGTAGCGTGCAATTCCGTGAAATATCTTTACACCTCGCGAGGAATGACGATGCGATCTTAAGTGGACCGTTCTGGGATCATCGTCGACTCATTTAGCCGACAAATGATCGGCTCTCGTTGCGAGATTCATGCCGGTTTTTCTCCTTGTTGAAACAACGATGTAGGAATCCATCCGAGCTCGACGTCACGGATGAGCATCGACGATTTTCCGGTGCGGCCCTTTTGAACCATCTATTACGAGGTTCCACCTCCTTTTGGTTCTTTTTTTCTTTTTGAAGAGAACTCCGGCCACATATACAGCTTCATCGTAGATCTCGAGCATACTGAATCGCGGCGCTCACGTGAGAATCGCAAAAGAGACCTCCGCGTATATTCGTAACCGCGGTCGAACTCGAACGTCCATCGAGTATTCGAAAGCAGCGGAATCAGCGATGTTTCTACGATGCACACGCATGGTACGCAAGAAATATTTTTTTTACCTTCCCCGAATACGAAAAGGTATCGTCCGCCGATCGCTTCTGCGGAATGTAAGCGAAATAACCGTCGAACGGAGCAATATAATTTGACATCGTGTGAAAAAGTCCACGGACAAAATATTATTCATCAGTATTATTTATTACTAGGTGCAGCATTTTAATTTGTTCAACGATCAATCATCGTATTGTTCCTAGAACGTCGTGACGTCAATTGTTTTAATCGGGATTCGCGAGATACGAACGAGTCACGGTCGAGTTGTCGTTATTAACGTTGGTCGTGGCGAGCCGATCGACAAACTTATTCCAGCGGGGCCGACGTGCGACGTAATTAATCACTCGATACGAGGGATTACGATTACGACAACAAATAAAATCGGCTAGACACCTCGCGCGTAGAGGCTGTCGAAGACGCCGGGTGGAGAATAAAAAGGCACGAAGAGAGATAAATATCTCGCAATTAGCGGAGCGTGACTGAGTGACGAGTGACAGTGCGCGAGAGATCGAAGCGATCGATTTTCAAGCGTCATTAAGGCCGGTCCACGCTGTGAATGAGGAGGAGGAAGGCGCGAGCGGGGAGGAAAATCGGAATCGCGATCTCCGGCGGCGCGTCCAGCCTGGAAACTGATAAATTGCGACTTCCGCCTGCGTTTCGATCGCGTACCACGTAATTTCCTGCAGAGGAGCCGCCCTGATAGGCGCGCGCGAGAGGAGGAGGCGGAGGAGGTTGGAGGAGAGAAGAGGAGAGGCAATGGAGGATGGAACGGGGATGGGAACCAACGGCGATCGGAAATTGGCCCGATGACATTGATTAAAGCGTTTAGCGAGAGGCGACAATGTCGTAATTATTAATTGGTGACGACGCCACACCGAGATTCCCGATCGCGATAGATGACGTTGAAATACGTTTGCTTAGGAAATTGGTGTCTAACAAATGACGTGACGTCAAGAATCCGATTTGTTTAATCGTTAATAAATGCGTGTGCAACGTGTGTAAATGTACGATATGTTCGATCGCATTTACACGCAAAAAAGTAATACTACATTGAGAAAAATTTCTGGTTAAAAATCATTTGACCAAGAGATATCAATCAGAATAATTCTCTGATTAAGAAGAATATATCAAATAATTAATTTGCACTCCAATTACCGTGCTCGATTCTCATTTGCTCGATACATTTCCCTTTATTTTCTATCAGATCTAGTCGAGCTTATTTTCTAGCAGATCAAATTTCGACGATCAAAATTCTAAGTAATACAATCTTCGGGTTTGTCCATTTTCAATGAAAAATTTTTCCCAAAACGTATCTTTTGTAAGCGCCATCAAATTAGTATATTACCGATGATCATTGTTAACTGTCTCTTATTTATGCTGCATATCAGTGACATATAATTCTCTTGCATCGTCATATTACGACACATTGTCACAGTAATATATGCTATCTTACACACGCAATGCAGTCGCTTTAGCGAATATATCTCTCGAACGATCGCATTGTTCGGAATCATCCTAATAGTATTACACATGTTTTAACACGTCACTCCTGCCTAAAATTCGCGAGCCTAACAACATAATCGTGATCAAGTTGCATCCAGGCTCTCCGTTGTCGTGTAAGTTTCTTCCTGTTGTCCGACACCGGTGATACGCGAAGGATCGATCCGATGGAATGCCGCTGCAGAAATAATATCGACCGTCCGGTCGACCAAAAGGGAAAGGGAGATGCAGAATGATGCACGCGCGGAAGAAAGAGAGGAGACGCGGCAGCGAGAAAAAAATTCTCTCTCGGGAAAGCGAACGGAGAAGAAGCCGTCGAGTCATCGGGCAAACGAGCCGATATTTTCGCACCTCGCTCGACCGGACGGATGGACGGACGCTCCAGGTAAGAAGAGGAGAAGAAGAAGAAGAAGAAGCAAGATGCTGAGGAGGAGACTGCAATGAATTTCGCGCTACCTGAAGACGGAGCGAAGGAGGAACGCGGAGGCGCGCGAGAGGAGACGACGCACGGTGATAAAAAATAAAACGACCACGACGACTACCGGGAGGGAGCTGTTCGCATCCGTGGCATGAGGGATGGAGGAAGAGAGTGAGAGAGAGAGAGAGAGAGAGAGAGAGAGAGAGAGAGTGCGTATGTGTACGACGAAGGGATGCGAAGGATAGCGAGAACGAGGAGACGAAGGAGCCAACGTCGGTCGTGGCGATGGAGACCGGGCCCGATTTATTGGCGAGTTTAAAAGAACTCGGACCCTCGACATAACTCAGCATTCGCCTGATGTTGACTGAGTGGCCGACTCGCTCGCGCGAGGCCATAGGCGCGGATAGGCGCAGCGTACCTGGCCTGTCAGCTTCGGTTATCGTCAGGCACCTCGTCTGCCAATCAAAGAGCATTCACCGGTACTAAGTGGCTCGGCTTAATTAAGCGCGGGAATGAGATGCCGCAACGCTGGTGTACGTGCGAGCGAGGGAGATAGGTCGGCCGTTCATTTTCTTTCCCTCGGGTCGTTGCGTCGTGAAAAATATGTTTTCTTGCGGGGACGCGAATGCGCCGTGCAGGGCGAGCAAACGTCTCGGAAAATTAGGACGATACGGTTTGCTTTGAAATTGCCGACGATACGTATTCTTAGGAGAAAATCCGCTGAACCTTGATGTCCAAAGTGACAAACTACGAATCCTAAAAGCGCTTGACCTTCTTCTAACTTGGCAAAATTTTAGAACATTAGTCATGCAAAATTCTTCTTCGGTTCACGTTTAGCAGATGGTGCTTGTAACGTGTTATGTGCAAGCATGAAATATATATTTAAAGTTTGAAGAATAATATAATTCAGCAAAATCTTAGAATAATTAATCATGTAAAATTCTCCTTTTTTTTTTTTAATGTTTAACAGATGGTGCTTATGACGTGTCATTTGCAAACACGAAATAGTCAAAGAAGCAAACCTTTAAAGCACGAAGAAATTATTTTACACAAATTAAATTGAATTGTAATTATAGTTAAATATACGAAACAGTTACACTCTAATTTCTAACAAATATAAGAATATGCATTAAACGCACAGCTATAACGTTTAAAAAAATACATTTACACGCACCTACGTCGAAAGCGATAAATCAGTATGATTCGCGCTTCTCGC